TTGGTCAGACACCCGTTGGTCTGACACCCGTTGGTCAGATGCCGGTTGGTCAGACGCCGGTTGATCGGACACCTGTTTGTCGGACACCCGTTGGTCGGACACCCGTTGGTCAGGCGCCCGCTCTTCAGGCACCAGGGAACCGGTGGTCTCGTAATTGGGAAACGCCGAGCCTGATGACTTCACCGACTCAACGGCTGTGCAAGAGCCTCAATATTCCCAACACGAGACCCCGGAGGGAGTGAGTCGCCACTTAATTTTTATGGCAATTTTATATTCTATTGCAATGTTCACAGAAGTTACAATAATATAGTGGTTCAATATTTTCGTATATATTGAATTACTTCATTTGTGTTGTCAATATTGTGCCAATACGAATGCCTCAACGCTGTTTTTATACTGACATTAAATAATCTAAGGTCAAATTAAACATTTTCCAATCACTTAACACCCGCACTTTCATACATGCAGATTTTAACCGAAGAGTAAGATCAGGTTTGGTAACACACCCTTGACCACCTTTTACTTGTGCTTAAATAACAATAATAATAATAATAACAATAATAATAATCTTTATTTGCACAAACAGGTGTTTTCCTGAGGGCGTGCGAGGTGAAACAGAAAGGCGGAAGCCCGTACGCTGGTGCGTCTGTTGGCCCAACCCCCAGGAAACGGAAACAAAGTTGAACATACCAAAAAAAAAAAAAAAAAAAAAAAAACACGGCGTTTTTTAATAATAGAAATTTGTGCTCGACTGTCAGTATATAGAGCTAGTGACTGCAAAGAGAGGTGTGTGGGCAATGCATAGCCCAGCTATACATTGCCCATACACCTTTCTAGAATAGACCTTTTCTCAGTAAACTTCTGTGCTCGTGTACATTGTCTCCCTTGACCCTTGGTTCCTGCCATTGTCGGAGGGCACCGCCTCGCACGACCAGTACTGTCAGCACTTCGCGTCTTTGGTCTTTCTTGGACGATTTTGTTCGTTAGCATCGGTATTACAGGACATACATTGCAGTGACAATCTCTACAATGGTGCAGTGCCAGTCTGTTCCGACGAGCGGAGGCATCTTCTCTTGTAACACGCAGACAACAGCGTTCGATACCCGAGTAATGAGGGCCATTGTCTGCGAGCTGCAAAGGAGGTCCAACACGCCCCCGCTCGTCAGAACACACCACCCCCGCTCTCGCGTAACCCGAGAGCGTGGGTAACGCGCGGTTGATGACTCAGCGGGGACGTTGTGTTCTCGCAGTTCGGGCTCCAAGGATCGCTACCCGGCGGGTCCGTACCCGGACCTGCCCCATCACGAGCCGTGTCCGGCGTGTCCTCCGGACCGCAAGCTGTCCGATCTTCCCTGGCACGCCAAGCTCTTTCCCTGCCTCATCATGTCGGACAGCTACGAGGATCGCGCCCGTGAAGAGAAAAGGTCCGTTTGCCCCACAATGCAGGGGCCAGCGTGGGGCACGGGGCGGACTCGAGTGCTACGTCTGTGCAAGGCAGGGACTGGCGTTCAATCAGCAAGAACCCCAGCCGTGCGCTGACGCGGCATTCATATTTGTGCCTCGCGCCTCTACGCCATGTAGGAGATCAAGTGTTCCGGCTTTGCCATCTAGGAGCTGTCGCCGTAAGCTCGCGGTAGAGCGCAGGTGCACGATGGGGGACCAATGGGCTGTTGGCTCCGCACCACGTGACTACGCTTTGTGCCCGCTCAAGCAAACGCGTATGGACTGTGGTCACTGGCAAGACAGAGGCGAGCATTTTGAGTTGTCCTGCCTCGAAGAGCGCTTTGCCTTTCGTAGTGTTGTAATGAACATCGCACCCATTTTAAAATTATAAGCGGAGTTGAAAGTTTACCGTGACATCACTACTTGACCAAACTTCGGCAAGGACAGGAGCCTGTCTAAGGACAAAAAAAAATGAATGTTTGTTTTTGTTTCCTTTCAGGAGGAAACGCAAGGAGAAGCGCGAGAAAAAAACCGCGAAAGCCTACAACAAACGTCTGTCAGCGTAAGCCAGCATGGTCGCGCTCTGTTGATTCATATTTTATTCGAGTGTAAAACATGATGACTCGTTGTTTTTACAAATACCACAACCGATTGGTGATCGAGCATCTCGCGCTCTCAATGGTCTAGTGAGAGTGACGTCGTATACCCCATAGGTTAGATTAAGATCATCACGGACTTCATCGACTTCACAAAACATCACCCATACAGCGATATCTCTAGTGGGACACGGGCATTATGCCCGTGTCCCACTAGAGCGACAGACAGAAACAAGACAGCAACAAGCCTCAAACCAGAGTTTTTCGTGATTTGAGAGGCTTTGTAGAAAAAAAGAGGCTATGCTCAAACACGAGCCTCATGCACGCGAGGGTATCTTTGGCAGGCTTGGAATCGCTCGTGCTTACTTCACAAGCACCGAACGGCTAAACGCCTGCCAAAGGTACCATCGCGGGCATGCTGCATGGGCTTGAGGCTTGTCGCTGTCTTTTGCTTAGTCTGTCGCTCTAGTGGGACACGGGCATAAAGCGACAGACAGAAACAAAAGACACCGACAAGCCTCGAACCCATGCAGCATGCTCGCGATGGCACCTTTGGCAGGCGTTTGGTCGTTCGGTGCTCGTGAAGTAAGCCCGAGCAATAGCAAGTCAGCCAAAGATACCCTCGCGTGCATGACGCTCGTGACACGTAAACCAGCAGTTTACGTGTCATCATCTTGAAATTTTGACACAAGAATAGTGGTATATGACAGAATGAAGTAGTAGCATGGAAAATTTTTCAGAGCGTAACGCTTCGGTGTTATGGTCATATTTGTATATTAAACACATGGGCTTCCATGGGACCACTGCCGTAACCCGCTAAGAGATGGCGCAAGTATACAGTGGCCCACAATTCATGGTAATGTTTTGGCCCTCTAAACAATATACGATTTATAAGATTCCAATCTAAAATTATTTATCTCGGCACAAAACTTATTTTATGACCCCTTTAAAGATGCGATTTCTTGCCCGTGGTGTTCGTTGCATTAGATTGTCTGAACAATAAAAGGGGCATTCACCGGCGAGCGTTGACCAGATTCCTTTTGCACCGTGAAAACTCTTTTTCATGGCAGACGATATGTTGCTTTACCCACAGCTCGTGCCTATGATAAGTGAATACCTGTTATAGACGATTGCAAGCGGGGCGTCTCGACCGGCATGCCCCATATTAGGGTGGGTTAGTATGGTAAGGTGTGCCGTCTGGCGGCCGTGAGTGGGTCGCAGTGTGCGGGCACGCCGGTGAGGGCGCTGTGGGGCAGAGCGGTGCTATCCGACGGCTAAATGAGGCCCTGAGGTCGCAGCAAATATGTTTTATTCGGCGTGAAAATGGCGGTAGTCTTCGTTTTTGTTTTTGCCTGGTCGGTTGTGAGAAAGAATAAGTCCCATCCTATATTACGCCCCTGTAGAAGAAACGTTCCTTGCGCGAGTGGCAGAAGCTTCTATACGAAGCTCAAATGCCGTTTGGGAGCGGTCAATTACTTACATAGTCTCGCTTTTTAATTTATTTTTCGTTAAGCTTTCATAAAACAATTTTCTATTTCATCTTTCATACCAGCATCACGAAAGCAAAGTTTGAGTATGATATGTTATGTGATGCTCTCATCTCCACTGTAGTGCCAAAGCTTATGCTCCCCATGTACCCAGACTAATGTGTGTGTTGCTCGTGGCGATGCCACGTTGTTTTGCAGCATCCCATGTATTCGCATATGTCGTTGTTTCTGTTTTATATTCTCGTGTTTTGTACCCCCCCTTATGTAATGCCCTCAACGAGGGCCATTAAGGGAACTTGAATAAATTGAATAAATAAATATCTTCGGCAGCTGTACATTTCCCGAACCTTGACGCGAGCTTTTCTTGACTTCTGCATTCCCAGCCAAAGCGAATAGAACAAAAAAATGTTTTAATTGACTTTATCTAGTGAGCATGCATCACATGAAAATAAACACAAAGACTGGCCAGATAAACGGAGCAACTTTAACTGCTGTTTTTATTGAAGAGCAATCCCACTTGAAGAAGTTTGATTTCTCTGACATGTCACACAGATTCTCCTTAGGTTTTTTTTTTTTTTTTTTTCTCCATCAGTTTTTTTTTTCACCTAAAATCCGACGATACCATTCCGCGAACAGAGAGGCGTTTCTCGGCATCCGAAATAAGAAGCACTTTTTTTTTGCATGTGTTGTAACCACGGTGATTGTAACCCACATTGCACCCCGGAAGAAAACAGCGCCGCTCCATCTTTTTCTTCGCCGCATTTGATATTGTTCTATGTCTCTTGTCTCTCCGGCACAGCTAGCAGCCACACAATATTGTATCGCTACCCACAAAACGCAAAGCAAGAAGAAATAGTCACACCAACACACCCCAAGCCAACCTCGCTAAACGCTGCCTGACCGGTCTCCTGGCCCCACTGTAGGGTGCCTACATGTCTGTCTCAGGGTGAAAACATCCATTCTTGCCCTGAATGTGCCAGCACGTGACGCTCTGGCGCACTCGGTGCGTGACTTGGGTGGTAAAATGGCGTCTATGCATTAGCCAAAGCTACACGCTCGAGATGAGTGACACCCGATTGCGCGCACTTCAAGATGCATAAAAAAAAAGTTTGGGCGGAAAAATGGCGGAGATGTCACCACTAAAGCAAAAGGGGGCGTGTGTATGAAGGCGCTCTACCCCTGTGACTGGCAGCGCCACCACAGGCCCCTGCTGAAAAATTGGGTCACTAGACAGCCAGCTCCTATGGAGATGCCGATGCGGTGGGCACACCTCCCAGTTCTAGTACACCATACCCATATATACAAGAACATGCGGCGTGCGTGTGAACGTAGCTTGGGGAGTGTGGCAATGGCACATGCTTACGGGAGATATGGCGGTGACCAGATGTCCTGCTTGCAATCGTGTATAGTTCTCGCAACCAGAGCGAGGGCTTGACCGGCATTCGCGTTCCCGCTCGACGTCCTCAGCACCGACCTCCTGGAAGGGCCGATGGACGGGGTGCCCTGGGCATCGGCGCGGGCTCCGGTCTACAAGACGCTCAGGCTCCCCAGTGGCAAGAGGGTCGACGTCACCAAGAGGAATGTCTTCATCAGGTACGACAAGCTGTCCTCAAGCAATATTCGGTCTAAAAAAAAACAAGAAAAAAAAAAAACAAGAAAACAGCAGCAAAGGAAATAATTATATGAACAGAATGCAATGTAATAAAAAAAAGCAAAAAAAAAGGTGTTATTTTTTATGCACTGGGGAAAAACGAAAACAAACCGCCTGGTGTAAGTTGCAACTCGTACCACACCTCCTCATATCTGCTAGATCTCCCCAGGGCGTTCATCTCAAATTATCTTTTGACGAAACTCGCTGAATAATAATTTTTTCTTTCCCATTTCTTGTCTTTCTTCACCGGCAAACGGGGGAGCAAGTGCAAAACACAACGCAATCTTCCAAAAGACAAAGCCTAATAAGACAGCTTTTCCCGTTCGTCTATGGCCCTTTGCGGGGTCCTTCCCCGTAGCCTTGCTGTTGTTCTCCTTGTTCACCACTCCACTCGTCAGTGATCCAGTATTACACGAAAGACATGACGTGCCACCCTCCCCCCCCCCCCCCTCCCCCCAACGTCATCACTAGTGGAACCACGCAGCGCCGCATAGGTTCCGTCAACATCACCGACAGCGCGTGTTGCAGCGACCCTCAACGAGTGCGACGCTGGCAAGCGGTGACGGCAAGGCGGACGCGTCTGCCGCTTTACGGTGACTAGTCGAGTTTCAGCGCGTTTGCCGCTTGGGGGAGAGGGGAGCCACTAAGGATGACGTCATGCGCAAGGCCTTGTCTTCTATACTCGCGTTCACCTAAACAAACTAATAAAAAAAAAAAGAAAAACGAGAACAACATTGCTCGGCCTTTCGCGGAACGTTACTAATTTTCCCCTTCTTACGTAGAATTAAGACATAAACGGGGGCATCCTAGATTAGCTTTGTGTCATTTTATCGAAACGTACAAGTTTCAAACGTCAACAACATCGTTTCTTCCTTTCATAACCAAATCTCGTAAGAACTACTTCGCACAGCGCACGAAGAACACGCACAAATCCTCCTTTTGTTTCCTCGATATGACAAGGAGTAGTATTAGGTTGCATTGAGTGATCTACCATGACGCTGCCCCCAATCGCAGGAAATGGCGGGAAAAGCGCATCAAGGACGATCCCTGCCTCTACATCACCCTCTTCGCGCTCATGGTCGTCGTCACTATCATTTTTATTTCCTACCACAGCAACCATGGTGAGCAGTTCAGTCGAGAATATGCCGTTACTACTACTGCAGTGTACCATATAGCCGCTGACAGTTTGGGAAACACGTGGCATGGCGAACATTTTCTGATGGGTGGATGAATGAATGCTAACGTTTGTACTCTTTATAACGGGCGGTACCTTGCGCCACCTAGCCACAGAGTCCAGCTTATCGCTCCGTAACCGATGACGTTGCTTTGCCGATAAGGAAGAACAGAAAGTTAAAAGCGTAAGCACAATAGGCCGTGCGTTTCTTAAGGTTTTGGTGGATGGATGGATGGATGGATACTAACGACTGTAACCTTTATAACGGGTGGTATCTTGCGCCACCTAGACTAGAAATTAAGAATCCAAAGTATGATTTCTTTCCTTCTCTAATTTGCTTACCCTCTGCGATTTCCTAAAATCACCAGGCGCGGTGTGAGGTATCACCAGGATGTCCTTTGCGGGACCGAAAAAAAAAAAACTAAAAACATCATCCCCGCCTCTTCCCCCCGGCCAGTGACTATAATTACCACAGGGTTGACAACCGACAAGGCTGGGATACCTTCACCGAGCTATAAATGTTCCTAATGGTTCCTTACTCGGTTTCGCTTAGGGCCTATAGATAAGCTTCAAAGTAAGGGCACTTCAGGGAACAAGGAGGCCGCAACAAGCTCTACTAAATTCGCTCTTTGCCTTTATTTGTTTTCAGCGTGGTTATTTGCCATCCTCAGATTTCGTAAGTAAACGTCTAAAATCAACGACAGGCCGCGATCTCACTCTGCTCTAAGGCATAGGACGATTGTGTAGCAGTAGGAAATATAATATCAATAAGCTAAATATAAACTGACCGTGCTCTGCACGAGATGGAGACTTGTGCCCGTTACTTGAAAAAAGGTAATAGATAAACAGTTACAAATTACCGAACTTCAAATATAATGAATTACCGTTACAAATTACTTTCGCTGAAAAGTAAGGCAATATTTTACTCGTTACGTTGCGCATTAATTTCGCACTACTTTTCCGGTACACTTGTCAAAAAAAAAAAAAAATAAAAAAAAAACGTTGAACCAATTTTGACATATTCGAAAAGGTTCTGCAACACTACTTTCCCCTTCTCATACGCCCGCATTATGGTAGTACTTGTAAAATAGAATATTGTGTTAAAGAGAAAAAACGGAAGTGCACTCCGTTCAACTGTAAGGTTATACGGCGACCGGAAATGAATTCTGGAATTCTGCAGGCAACTAGCGGTGAGCACGCTCAGTACACGATTTCTAGCTCGATGTATGGATGGATGAATCCGGCTGAGCCCTTTGGATCGGGCGGTAGCTTACGCCACCTAGGCCTGGGAGGCGATCCCACCGCTATCTGTTGGTTCAGAATCACACTAACCAAGGGTGGGGTATTCGCCTGGTCGCCTTCCAGCGTTTTGGGACACTCTGAAAAGTCAAATGCCCATTCTGCTGGTCCGTTAGGAGGTCATGAAGGCAACGCCTACTCGGCGTTATCTTTTTTGCATATTTGTAAATTGAATATGTCTTGCACGCTTTTCTAGTGTTTCCAGTGATCGATCCTACAAAAAATCGTGTTTCCTTTTCGGTTACTCTTCTTCACGATGTTCTTTATTTTGTTAAACTCGCTGTCTTTATGCTGCTGAACTGCCTGCCATATTGCTTCAGTTCCTGTTATACGTTCATATTTTTTAGAAAATAATGAGTAATCAAAATAATCCGTTAGCAATATTGTTACGAAATTACATTACAATTTACTGCCGCAAAGGTAATATGGCAATTACAAAATTACTTGTGAAAGTAACGGATTACTTCCCAAGTCTGAAGCAGGAGCACGACAGTTGCACCTTTTTGCATTAGTAGAATGTCGTTTGCCAGCAGCAGACAGCCGCAGCCGCCTCGGTGGCTCCGAGGCGAAAGCGTCGGCCTACGGATCTCCATGTGGCGGGTTCGAATCCCGGCCGAGGTGCCCGCAATCTGACGGAGGCTTATTGCGTAGAAGGCGCTGTGCAACCGAGCTTTCGGTTGCACGTCAAAAGATCCCCAGGTGGTCGAAATTAATCCGCTGGGGCGCGTCAGATGCCCGTCGTTGGTTTGGCACGTAAAACCCCCCAATTTTTGAGCAGACAGCCGTTTTTCAACACGTCATTTAGAGCTCCGATCCAAAGACTGACTCGTCTTCAACGCACGTCTTGTCTACTTTCTATCCATCTCGTTTTTGACTACTGCGCCAATTTGTAAGAGTGAAACAATTCTCCTGCATCGCCACCTTTACTGACTTCCGCGACGCTACGATGGCACATAACGCGTGTTCGTGTATTTGTGTATAAGTGTGCCTTCAAAGCTTGTAGCTTGTTACGCAAATTTACGAGTTATTGAAGAAAAATATGTAATAAATCGAACCTTCTTCTTGAGCGCATGCTCGACATCATTGTCCTCTTTCATTATAGTGCATAGAGAACGGACCAATGAACAAAAAACTCGGACTGAGTTTGAATTCACCTCAAGTGGTCCGGAGGACACCGATGACGACGGTACGTGTTATTTCCAATAAATTGATCAAGCACAAGAATGAGCGCTTTTCGACCGCTTTGCGGATATGCAGCCATAACTAATCTTGCGAACGTATGGTCTGAGTGACCAAATTTAGGAAAGGACGCTTGTTGCTTCACTTTACGACAATGATCAGATCAGGTCTTTTTCGTCACGGACTAAGGCTCAGCGTCGTTGTCACTTCCAGTCGCTCAGCGTCTGATGGTGTTTTATAAGAAATTCAGTACTAGCGGTCCCGATATGAATTCGCTAGATTCGCCTGTTCACAGTCGGACGATGATGCTGATTGCTTTTATGCTTCGGTTCGAATAAGCAAGCACATGGGGACGTATACAAGCTTGCGGCAGCTGAGTTCCACGTCCAGGTCATGCACACACGCCCCAAAATAACTTTCAGCTCATTTCTGAAGAAGATGCTGATTGTTTGGAGGTCCGAATGTACTGGACTAGAGCCACTAAATGAGCTGCGCTTAGAGTGTCGGCACTCCGTTTCCCGACTTGTGGGCGCCGCCATTTTGGCTCGTATGCTGAACAGACGCAACTTCCGATCGTCATGATTAAAAAAGTGCGACTTCCTCAGCATTAGACTCAGTGTTGGAAAGGTCGTGTAATTATGGTTTGCTCTGTCGCGAACTGTTTAAACAATTTTGGAGGACGGAAAAGCGTTTCCTGTGATTTCGGATAAAGCTTCAAATAACTGGCAGCCATGATTTTAGGCCACAGTATGGGCAAGTATCGTTACTCTGAAGCGTAGCTTATTGAGTGGCACTATGTACTGGACAATCGTGGGACAACCGTCATAAATATGTTCTCTACAACTACATGTGATGACGATGAAGAGACCTGTCATCAGGAGTTTTCTCAACGGAATGACGTTTTCCGTGTCAGCCATATTGTTTACACTTTCCAGGTCTGCCAGCAGAGGGCAGATTTTCGAGAGAAATGAATACATGGCTTGCATGTGCTGTCACCGCACCGTGCTCTTAGTAAAGGGCGAAACACATGTACGACGAAACCGTCCGGTCCGACGTCCGACCACGCAATACGACGGTCGGAGGCGGGGGTTTTCAACGCTCTCCGATGCTACGAAAACCCTCGCCCCCCAAGATCATTCCGGCAGTCCGCACGTCGGATCGGACGGTTTCGTCGTACATGTGTTTCGTGCTTAATCCCTACTTGCTCCTGACAAGTATATAAAGATATATATAAAAAATAACGTTCAGCCTTTCCACTCTGGTGAAGAAGGAAGACCAGCGGAGCTGTACAATGGAAAGTAATGGCCGGCCGCAAGTCGACAAGCCAGAATGAAAAGGCTGCCGCCATCTATGAGCGACGGTGGTTAACCAGATACGTGGCTTGCCGGCGTCGCTCATAGATGGCAGTAGGTGTCCAGAGTTCGGTGTCTTCATTTGTTTGCGGGGGACACGACCCTGGAGAAAGTAGCCCTTGACAACTCCGCTGTAAAAAAAAAAAAAAAAAAAAAAATAGATGGTGCGAAATGTGTCCCGCAGGAGGCATGCGGTCTTAGCAGTAAGGCCACCATGTTAATGGCTGCTGTGACGTCAGTGCAGAACACGTATCAAGTCAGCGTGCAGCAACACGATACGTGCAGTTGAAAGTGGCGTGTCCGTGTCGTGAGCATCACACTTTTGGTGGCATAATTATCTATTGAAGAATGAGGTAGTGCCTGACGAAGACTCATGAAATATGAGGTTTGAACAAGGCCAAAGTATTCCATAGTGGCAACCAGGTAAAGAAAGTAAACGAACGCCAAAGAAAACCGGACTGTTTTTATTCACGCAGGCAACACCACCTTGACGAGTTTCTTGGAAAGCAATGCGCACGGGGGCGACAAGGTCTCACAATGGCTGCCAACACCAGCGCCCTCCGTACTGCTTCGTCGAGGAGTTAGAACGACAAAAAATATTGTTGTCACTACTCTTACAGACTCGCGACTTTACATTGCCCCAATAGTAAAACCATGACGTATAATATTTATTTATTGACATAGCGTAATCTATGAATAAAGTAATTCCTGTACAAGTTAACGTATACAAAAAAAAAAGAGCAGAACATCTTTATTTTTAATAAATATGCACATCATTACTACCTCGATTCATTGCAGCATAAAACACAGGCCCCCATGCATGACACTTTGTATTAACAAATATTAATGCGTGACTGTTCTTGTTAAATATTGCATATATGTTCATTAAAGGGCCCCTGAAAAGAAAAAAAAAACTTTTTTTGAACAGTCTGGTGCGGACACGCATGTTAAAAAAGAAATATCTTTTAGAACAATATTGACTGCGAGCGGTTTATTTGAAATTCTGCGCGCAAGGTCGATGACGTCACGGGTGGAAAGGAGGTTACTGCCAACTAAATCGCGTCTGACGCCATCAATATTGCTCTAAAAAAACTTTTTTTTTGGCGTAAAATTAATTTTTCGACACGCGTGCCCCAACCAAACTGTTAAAAACATTTCTTTATCTTTTTTTTTTTTCAGGGGCCTTACCTTGGTGGTTGACATTTCTCGTTCGCCCTAGGTGGCGCAAGCTGCCGCCCGATATATAGTGTACAGCCGTTAGCATCCATCCATTCAATCATCCATCCATTGGGCACGAAGCATGTGATTGGATCCCAGTCCTCACCGAACGCTGACGCCTCTAGTCCAATAGATTCTCAAAGCACCTGTCGAAGCAATGGCTGAAAGCAAAATTACCTTTCACTTACCCTTGTCCTAGACGCGTCAGTGTCTCGTAGAATGGCGGAAAGGCAAGAGCGCGCCCATTTGGAAGAAGTCGTTTGGCGGAACAGTTAAAGGTAAGGCTATGTTGTAAACGGGGTATTCAATGGACGCTATATTTGAGGGCGCTGTTTAAAGCGCATGCTCAAAACGAGCTCACATTGATAGGGAGTATTCACTGGCGGCCATAGCTGTGTGCGCGACTGCTGAACGCGTGCTGACGACGAGCTTCCGCAGTTCATTCGCAACGTGCATTCCGCGCTATCAAGATTGCCGGCCTTATCAGGCTATTAATGTGACCTCGTTCTGAGCATGCGCTCTAAACATCGTCCTCAAATATGGCGTGTAGTGAATACCCCCTATAGGCTGCTAAGACCGCTAATCTTGATGGTGCGGAATGCACGTTGCACAAGAATTGTGAACCGCACCGTCAGCACAGGCTCAGCAGTCGCGCACACAGCAATGGCCGCCAGTGAATACTTCATATTCTCCCTTTTTTGTTTGGCAACAAACTGAGTGGCGCCATCTTTTGGTGAGACCTGGCACACTTCGGTCCGGGTATATTTTAAATTTTTTTACGCGCCATGTCATGTTTTCACCATAATATTGAATTATGTATGAGAGTGGCATAAGCGACCATTTTCCGAAAATATTTGATTCGATCTTGCACAGCAGAGCTTGAATTCGCCCCGGCGGTTAGTGGCTCTATAGTTTCTGGAATTTACTTTCGTCGTTCAAGGCTAATCCAGCATTATTTTTTTAACGGTTTCGAGTAATACAAGTTGGAACGTGTGACAACGAGGAAAATCAACATTGACGCTTACACTGGAAATAAGAAGCAAATTTGTTTTCAGGATGTGGTCGAGAAAGATGAAGTGAGGTTGTGTTATAACGTTTCATCTTTCACATGCCTCCAACTAAGCATCTGCTGCTCCATAAATATTAGGAACGTAAGTATATAGCACCATGCCGACTTTCGGTCTAGCGTCTCTACTTCTCAAAATAGAAACGTCAAATTGAGCGTCTACATATTTAGACACAGTGAATTTAGTTTGCCATTGCGCCATTCTCCGCTCGGCAGGGGGAATTTAGCTGGCGGAGTACGACTGCTGAGCTGGTATCTTTAACGTCGTACAGTACATCACGTAATAGTGGCCATACAACCTCGTGCCAGTTCGATACTCGCTCATGTCAGAATCTCTAGAGGAGGGAATTAAATCCAGTATCCATAGCTTCGCAGAACGGTGCTCAGATTCCTCAAGGAGTTCAAACAGCCTATGTTACAAAAGGTATGAAAGTAGCCAATACGCAGCTTAAAGTGTTCTCTCTCAGGCATTGAATAAATATTTAAGCTGTACTGACGCCGCTTACGATGATGATGATGAGGATGCGGCTTGTTCCCTTTGAAACGGGCAAGCGCGAACTAAGTTCGTGCCCAAGCCTGGGAGTGAGGAGGTCTTAATGCCCCCTGAGGTGGATCTTATTCCACCAACCTTCAAGTCTTCGTTTAGTGGCCACTACAAGCTTGTGCCGGCCGCTAGAAGGCCCCTTTTTCTGCGTAGCTGCAGAGTTTTGTGCATCAGAGTAGTCTGCTTGCAAGTTGCGCCCAATTTCAGTAATTGTGAAGCCCAACGCCTCAGCGAGCACTAAGGGGCTCGGCAGGCGTGGGCACCGGGACGGCTGAAGTCCCGCACAATCTAGCACAACGTGCTCCACCGTTTCATCGTAGCCTCCGCAGACCCGACATGCGCTCGAGGTCACCGTAGCATCAAACCGGCGTCTGTAAACTAGTGTCCGGAGGGCCCCGGCGCGCGCCTCAGACAACAAGCGGCTGTCCAGACTGTTGTCGTACAGCAGTGCTTCCGATGCGATGGTTGTTTTGTGGTTCAGGTACACTTAGAGCTTCGACTTTGTTTTTGCGTCTCGGAGCCATTGTTGGGCCTTGTTGTCACGGACTTTCTTCTTAACCTCTGACGCCCATTCCCTTTCTGATGACGCTTCAACGGGGTCAGAAAAAAGGTCATACCCGTGCTCAAGTTGATGAAGGCGCTTCTGCCAGCGTGTCCACAGCCCCGTCAGGTGAGTGTACATAAACAACCTCCTGGCCCTCCTGCAGCTGTCCATATGGCGAAGACGCCCGTAGTAGGTAATTTTGCTGGTTGCCTCCCGAGCCTCAAAGGAGGCCCAGCCCAGCTCTCCCTAAACTGCCTCGTTGGCGACACCCCCCCCCCCCCCCCCCCCCCCCCCCCCCCCCCATGGCAGCCCAATGCCTGGCGTCCAATCTCTCTCTGTCGGCGTTCCATATGGGCTCGAACATCACCGGGAACGCCTACTACGGCATTTGCAAATGTCAGTCCAGATACTACTACCGCTTTCCAGAGCTCCCGGGACACGATGAACCGATTGCAACTCCAAAGGCTTCGCTTACGGAGAATGTTGGCTCCTTGTATGGCTGCGTGGCGAAGATAAGTGTGGTGGTCTTGTAGGTAGTCTGCCACATTTGACAGCGTGATGCCCAAGTACTTATATGAGTCGAGTATTGGCACATCGCATCCGCCGAGGCGAAGGCTGCCGAGTGTTGACTCGAGGGAGCCTGAAAACACAACCACCGCTGACTTGCCCGCGTGTAATCTCAAGCCAAGCTCCATAGCCTCATGAGTGCATATGTCAAGAAATTGTTGCATTTCAGACACTGATGCCGCAGTCAGTGCCACATCGTCTGCATAATTCATTGAGGGACATTTCTTTTTTTTTTTTCACCTTTTCTGCGGCGCGTGTTTCTTCTACTCTGTTAATTTCACACAAAAACAAATAAAAGTCGTAACAAAAGCAGAGGCCGTAAATGAGCCTGTGCTGCTCATTTCTTTGTTTTTGCATAGCTCGATCAAAACTATCTATTAGCAGGTTTAATATTACACGTTAGGAGTTGTATGATAACAACAAGCGCCAATAGCACGCTGCAGCGGGATTAGTTAAGACATCCCTTGAACACTTTGGACTTGCATGTCTATATTAATATATCGACCCACGTTATGGGAAACATTCACTGGCGGCTAACTGCGTACTTACACAGTTATTTGGCAGCGAGCATTTCACGCCATCAAGATTGCTTGTCTTAGCAGCCTATTTAAGTAAGCTAGTCTTGTGCATGCGCTCTAAACATTACCTCAAATATAGAGTCCACTGTATACCCCTATATATGCGAGGTCGTTTTGAACATGCGCAGGGAACAGCGCACTCAAATAAGGCGTCCAGTGACCCCCCCCCCCCCTCCACCCCCCGCGCGCGCACAAATTGATAATCATAGTGAGAATTATGATTGTAATTACGATTCATTCACAACGCGACCAACGATGTAATGGCGAACTGGTACGAAGTCCCGCACAATAGTTTGCACTCAGGACGCTGTCACAACGAAATCGGCAAAGAGGTGTTCATTGTTCAGCGGACCCCTTGCGCCACGTTTCCTCACCGTCTTCCGCGCGCAGTATACGAGGCATGTCCTTCCGACCACCCCACCCTGGCGACTTCGGAGGTCCGTCGTTCTACGCACCGCAGATGTACCCGTACCGGCCATATTATGTGCCTCCTGGCCTGGCTCCGGTCGCAAATCTCGGCTACACTGGCGGCTCACCCATGACATACAATTTCCAGCCTTTTCCTCCCAGGTACGTGCGCTGTAAACGAGGATTTTCCATGACGTCACAGAACATGACTTGGCGGAAGTCTGGAGTCCGCCATCTTAGTTTCATCTTTCCAGCGGGCTTCCGTTTGCTCGTGTATAAATACGGTGCCTGCAACGTGTCTCCGACTGCGTCCTATTCGGCCCGTGCATCGAAAGTGGCCCTGAGCTGTCAAACGAGTGACGTCAAAAAAACCGGAATGTCATGTAGTCGGATGTAGCAATCCTGGTGGTTGGTAGTAAAATTTCCGGGGAAAAAGAAACACACACACACACACAAACAAACGTGGGTGTCGCTGTCGTCGCGGTTTCCCAACACCTGCCTTCCAAAGCTTCCTTGGACTGTCGACCTGGAGAGCGACCTGCTGCAGAACGGGCGTTTGCCACCTTCACCACCGCTTTCATAACGTCACCAGCAGCACAACCGGCGATTGCATCACACTTCTATGACGTCATCGGGAGAAAATGGGGGTCCACTTTCGGGACGCGGGAAACAGACCAGTAGGAGACGTGCTGCAGACACCATAGAGTATAGACCAACTCAAATCTCTGACGTCACGGCATTGCGGTGGCGCTGCTGTCGGCACTACGCGAGCGCACACGCGTAAACAGTGTGTTGGTCTATAAAGGGCTATTT